CGAGCGCGCCACTGCCGCGTGCCTGGCGTGGCTTCAATCGGGGGGTGGCATGTGCTGCAATCGCTGGAGGCTGCAGCAGCGGAGACAGGAGGGGAGGCGATGTAGCCCGAGGAGCACAACACTTGCACAAGAGAAGATGGGTAGGGAGGCAGGGCTGGGAGAAGTGGGGCTACAAGGGCCACGCATAGGGCCACTTCGAGAAGCAAGAAAGAGAAGGTGCAAGAGATGTGATGCGGGAAATATAGGATGGATCAGTAAAAGGACGAGTGGAAAAGGATCCGTAAGCGGCGTACAGCGCTGACATATTCGTAACACGCCTTCTCTGAGAAGTGCAACGAACAATGCGATGGAAGACTCCAGGACTGATCATCAGTACTCAAGACGAGAGGTGCCACGTCGGTGCGACGCACGACGATGATGAGGACCGCGGCCGTCGTACGGCACGATGGCGGCAAGGAAGCCTCTACTGCCACCGCGCGGCACCCCCGGTGAGGAGCGAGGCGAGGTCGGTCGAGACGTTGAACAAGACCAGCGCCCCCGAGGCGGCAGCGAGCGCCTGCAGCCCTCGCCGGCCGCCCTGGAAGCACGACGCGCTGCGCGGCCTCCCCCGGCGGGCCCCGCCCTGGACCAGCCGCATCACGGGCGGCGCCACGCCCCACAGCAGCACCACGGGGTAGGCCCCGGCGAGGTCGATCGCCCCGAAGAAGGCCTCGGGCGAGGTCGCGGCGATGCACGACGCGACCGCCAGGAAGAGGAGCACCGCCCGCGACGCGCGCGGGGAGCCGGCCTCACGGCCCCCCTGCGCGTCGGCGAAGAAGGACCTAAAACAGGGCTAGGACCGGGATAAATCGCTCCAGAGCGTTCCGGAGCGCTCTCAGAGCGTTCCGGCACGCTCTGGAGCGGCCGCGGCGCCCAATGTACATCCTCCAAACCCGCCGATCCTCGGAGACTTCGAGTCGTCCCGATCCGATGTTGCCCCGATCTTCGCGTCGTTCTATCGGGGATGGACAAACCTCCCTTTAGTAAAACGTGGTTTAGTGAAAACGACTTCGGGCCCAAACCTGGCGGGCGCAAGCCTGGAAAATAACGGCCACGGCGCCCTCACGAAAACCGAAAACGGACAATTCACTAATCGACGTGTCACTGTTGGGGGTTCTGTCCACCCCCGATTCTAGGACCTCAGGGCGATGCTGGTGCCGACCACGGTGGTGGAGATCGCGCACGCGCCCAGGGCCGGCAGGGCCGCGGGGCCGAGGCCGGCGCGGGGGAGCGCGTCGAGGGGGTCTCGGCGCAGCGCGTGGCCCGCGAAGGGAGCCTGGCTGCGAGAGATCGTGGCCCCGTGGCCAAAGACTAGGGCTCCCAGCTTCGCGCTTCGCGCTGCGCGAAGCGCGAAGCGCGAATAACTTCGCGCTCTCGCGCCGCCCTCCCCAAAGGGAGAATAGGAGGACGAGGAGGAGGGGGAGAAGGAACGAGGACCGCGAAGCGCGAAGCGCGAATAACTTCGCGCCCTCGAGGGAGCCCTTGGAGATGAGTGGCCCCTGGCCAAAGACTGGCCATCGCTCGGACGTCCACTTCCTGTGTTTTTTTTTCGGCTTCGTGCGTGGCTTTCCCGCGACACGATCAAGGATGCTCCTCGATGGTCCTCGCCGGGGAAAAAACGCACACGTCCGAGCGATGCCAGGAAGAAGAAGGCCAAGAAGACTGCCCAGATCTGCCCATGGTGGACACGAGTTGACAACTCGCTGTCGATGTACAGTCGGGCCCGCGAAGGGAGCCTGGCTGCGAGATGAGTGGCCCCTGGTCAAAGACTAGAGGGGCCCCAGAGCACACAAACAAATACACACAAACAAAAGGATTCCCCATACTTTCCCCTATTTTCTGGGTTTCCCCATACTTTCCCCTATTTTCTGGGTTTTCTGGGTTTTCTGAGTGGCCCCTGGCCAAAGACTGGCCGTCGCTCGGACGTCCATTTCCTGTGTTTTTTCTTCGGCTTCGTGCGTGGCTTTCCCGCGACATGATCAAGGATGCTCCTCGATGGTCCTCGCCGAGGAAAAAAAACGCACACGTCCGAGCGATGCCAGGAAGAAGAGGACCAAGAAGACTGCCCAGATCTGCCCATGGTGGACACGAGTTGACAACTCGCTGTCGATGTACAGTCGGGCCAATGAAGGGAGCCTGGCTGCGAGATGAGTGGCCCCTGACCAAAGAATAGGAGGGGCCCCAGAACACACAAATACATACACACAAACAAAAGGATTCCCCATATTTTCCCACATTTCCTGGGTTTCCGTCTTCTCCCCCACTTCCCATATTTTCTTTTATTTTCTGGGGAATCGACGATTGATTGTGTCTGTGTGTTTTCTCCCCTCCTGACAGAGGACCAAGGAGACTGCCCAGATCTGCTCATGGTAGACACGAGTTGACAACTCGCTGTCGATGTACAGTCGGGGCCTTGACCTAAGGAACCTGAATAAGGAACGAGGCCCCTCTTTTCCAGAAGTTAAGCCTCGATTTCCGATCGAAAGCATCAGGAAAACCTGAGGCAAGCTGCGAAGCACTGAAGGAACGCGGAGCCCCTCCCCAACGCAAAGGGTTCCTTCTTCAGGGCCCCGACTGTATCTGCCCATGATGGACACGAATTGACAACTCGCTGTCGATGTATTGTGGCGTAGCTGGCTACGGCTACATCGCAGAGCGTGGGGGGCTGGGAAGGGGCCTGCCACTCGACACAAAGCTTGTCCCGAGCTGCGGCCGCCGCGATCGCCGCGGCGACCTCCCAAACCGACCCGGAGGTTTGGTCCAGGGGCGGATTTCGCGCAACGGGAGCCAGCCCGATGCCGAGACAGGACCAGCCGAGCTGGACGGCCAGCAGCAGCGCCGACCCAGCGACCAGGGCGCGGCGGATGCGGCTCGGGCGGAAGGCGAGCAGGCTGCAGACCGCGGGAACCACCTCCGCGAACACGAGCAGCTGGAGCACGCTGGGCAGAGCCGCCGGCGCAGCGCCCCAGTCCGCCCGCGCGAGCCGGCCCCAGTCCGCGAGGGGCGCGCCGCCGGCGAAGAGCCCCGCGGCGGCGGCGACGAAGCAGGCGGTGAGCGCCGCGTTGGCAGAGGCCACGAGCCAAGCAGGGCTGGCGGCCTCGAACGCCCCCAGCACCGCCGCCGCGCCGACGCACCCCGCGGCGTACTGCAGGTGGAGCGCGGGCGCGAGCAGGGCGCCGGCCTTCGAGAACTGCGACACGAGCGTGCACATCATCAGGGAGAGGAAGGCCACGGAGACGAAGGCGGCGCCGGGGCCCCCGAGCGTGGAGCGCGCCACGCCGAGCACACCCGTGGGGCTGCCCTGCTCCTCGGAAGCATCGACGACGAGGTCGGCCACGACGAGCGCCTGCGCGAGCAGGAAGGCCCAGGAGCAGGCCAGCAGGGCAGCCGAGGGCGCCGCCCCCGCGGGCGCCGTGGTGTACGGCAGGGCCAGGAAACCACCGCCGATGGCCGTGCCAGCCACCAGCGCCGCAGCGGACACTTCCTGCCACAGGTCCTGAGCATCGTCTGACCGATCCCTGGCCCGACTGGCGCGACCTGGGCTCCGCTGGCCATCGCTCGGACGTCCATTCCCCGTGCTTTTTTCGGTTTCGTGCGTGGCTTTTTCGCCAAATGATCAAGGATGCTCCTCGATGGTCCTCGCCGAAGGAAAGACGCACACGTCCGAGCGATGCCAAGCCCACTGGCCGAGATAACCCCCCTAGATGGGGGTACGGGCTCCTCCCTTCAGGTCTCGAGGAGCCTATCCACAACTGGGGTGGTGGCGCGGTGGGGCTGAGCTACCCTGGCCCAGTGGGGAGGGGGATACAGTCAGCCCGTATAAGAGGGATGCGCGGTAAGGATGCAAAGGTAGGCGGCCACATGCGAACCCTATCCCTACCCCCCACGATTTCCGAGGGGGGTAGGGGTAGGGTTCGCATGTGGCCCCCTTAAAAGGCCTCAGAAGGCCGTGTCGACACTTTGCGAGCGGGACGCGGCCAGCGAAAGCGGCCAAAGATGGGCCGAAGGGGAAGGATGTAGGGGGGTCGCTTGGGGAAATTGCTCATACTTCCTGTGCAGGTTGACTGTAAGCTAAACGATGCCGACTCCTCCGCCGGCCAAACAGAAGAACATTCGAGGGGACCCCCCACCACAGGATGCACAAGAACGTCCGACAAGCACGAAAAGCATTAGGGTATCCTGACCTTCCCCGGACAGACCTCGATCTTGGACCTCGGTCTGGCCGTAGGTTGAACTCGACGACACGCAAGAGTGACCCTGGGTAAGAGTGACCTTTGGTGCGCGGCTTTTTGGGGGCCGCTGGGGGGCCAAACACGAGCGCGCAAGACGCTACTACCGCATTGCGTTCGGCGACTGGGGGACCTCGTCGGGCCCGCACCAGAGGTCACTCTGGCGGAAGGTCGCTCTTACTTCTACAGGAGGGGCCCGACCACAAGAAACCTTCCACAAGAGACCCAACCCTGAGACCCCAGGACGTTTCAGCGATTTTTGGCGTGGGAACGCCACGCTTCCCATTGCAAAACCATCGAAACCCAGGAAACACGGGGCATCCTGGAGGCACGCATGGCGTTTTCCTCTCATGGTTAGGTCGGGCCTGTCGCCCTACAGGGGGATTTTGGACAAAAATATAACATGGTTAAAATATATCCAAAACTAGTGAAAAAGTCGTCCCCAGACTAATCCCACCAGCCCTCTGGGCGTCGGTGGTTTAGGGCGTTTCCTCTTCCACCCCTCCTTCTTCCCCTTCGGGGAGGGGTTTACCCCTCCCCCTCACCTGGACGGGAGGGGCGGGGAGGTGTCAGAGCGTCCAAAACGGCCTCGGCGAGGAAGCCAAAATCATTAATTCTACTATGGTTTTGGCCCCATTTTGGCATCCCGGGGGGGGGGGGGGGCAAGCCTAATCAATGCTCCGCTCTTCTTTGATAGATCTCCTCCAAGATGGCACAAAGAAGCGCCCAGGAGGCCCCAAGAGGCCTCAAGATGGCCCCAAGATGGCCCCAAAAGGCCCCCAAGAGGCCCCCAGGAGGCCCCCAAGAAGACCCTCAGCGGCCCCAAGAGGCCCCCCCCCGAGGCACCCAAGACCCCGAAGAGCCCCCCAGGATCGCCAAGAGACCCCCAAGACGTCCCAAGAGGCCACCAAGAATCGCCCAGGAGATACCCCAAGAGGCTCCGAGAGGCATCCAAGAGACCTCTGGCCCTTGTGCTTGCCCTCCTCCTCCTCCTGTTCCTCCTTCCTGCTCCTACTCCTTCTCTGCCTCCTCCTCCTCCTCCTACTCCTCCTCCTCCTCCTCCTCCGCCTCCTCCTCCTCATCCTATTCATCCTCCTTCTTCCGACTCCCTCATCCATCCATCTATCCGCCTCCTCCTTCTACTCCTCGCTCCTTTGCGCGGTTCGGCCGTCCTCTTCTTTGCTGCCGCACTTCCCTGATCACCTCAACTCGCCTGGACATCGTTTCTGGATGGGCTGGTGGGGATACTTATTTGGTCGCGGGCGGAAGCGGAAGCGCAGGCGCCGAGTTGAAAGGTCCGGGCCACGGGCCTATCAAACTAGCAACGCGCGAGCCTAAACTGGTGGGGATACGCGAAGCGCCTAGAATTTTGGACCATTTTTGAACATTCCCCCCGTTGAAGGACAGGAGGCCCGACTTGAATCTCATGGGACTCCCCTGTGCGCCCAGCCGTTCCAACGAGGCCGACTCCTCCCACGGGCCCGGGCCGCGGGCCGCCCGCTGCGCGGCCCGGGCCTGCCGCCTCCCCCGCGCGCGCGGCAGCGCACGCCCGCGGCAGCCCTGCCACGGGGCAGCCGCCCGGGCCGGCCCCGGCGGCCTCGCCCGTGGCGCCCCGGCGCCGCTGCGGCGCGGGGGCTGCGCGGCGCCCGGCGTGGGGCGAGCCGCGAACGGCGCCCCGACGGCCGCGGCGGAGCCGAGGCAGGGCCGCGCCGGGAGGGGCATGGGCGAGGCCGCCGCCACCGGGGCCCGCCGCGGCTCGCGCCAGAGGGGCTGCCGCAGGCTGCTTCAGGAAGGCCCCGCTCCGACCCCACGTGTCCCCCGATGCTGCCCGACGTGCCTCAGATGACCTGACATGGACACAGCATGAGCCTAAGCCGCTCGACGCGGCCTCGCTACACTGCGGGCGCGGCCGCAAGAAACCCTCGCAAGAAAAACCCGAACCTGGGAACCCGTGCGCGAGGTAGACCTGAGGGGAAGCCCGGAGCACCCTGAACGCAGCAGCTCCTTCAACGGCCGCGGGAAGTCGCCGCGCCGCGCGCGCAGCGAAGAAACCCAGCGCACCCTGACGAAAAGCAGATGGTTTCTTGATGCGCGCCCCCACTGTACGAGAGGAGTCGCGCTCTTCGCCCTTCCCTCCTCCCTCCTCGTGCTGCACCCTGCTCCTCCTTCCCCATCTGCCTCCTCGTCCACGTCTTCCTTCTTTTCCTCTGAGAGAGCGCGCGCACAGCGCCGGAGCCACGGAGGGGGGGGTCCCCCCTCAGCTACCCCCCCCTCCCTTCCACCTCCCCTGCTGGAAGCTCCCCCCCCCTCCCCCCCTTTTCGCCTCCCCCCCTGAAGCTACCCCCCCCTCTCCCCCCCTCTCGCCACTCCGAAGCTACCCCCCCCCCTCTTCCAAGAGGGGGCTTAGCTACCCCCCCCCTCCCTTTGACCCCCCTCTGCCGGAAGCTACCACCCCCTTCCCCCCTTTGGTTCCACAGGGGGGGGGAGGGCTTAACACCCCCACCCTCCCCCCCTTTCGGCACCCGAGAAGCTCTCCCCCCATTCCCCCCTTACGAAATAGGGGGAAAGCTTAGCTACCCCCTCCCACCCCCTTCCCTCCATTTTTCTTCCCCCTGCCGGAAGCTCCCCTCCCCCCCTTCCCACAAAAGGGGGCGGCTTAGCTACCACCCCTCTCCCTTGAACTCCCCCTGCCGGACGATCCTCCCCCGCCGCCGTCGTCGTTGCCGTCGCCGTCGCTCGACGTCTTCGTACGACGCCGTCGTCGTCCTCGCATTCGTCGTCGCCGCCGCCGCTGTCATTGTCGCCGTCCCCGTCGCCGTCTTCGTATGACCTCGTCGTGGTCGTCACGACGAGGACGAGGTCATACGAAGACGGCGACGGACGACGGACGACGCACGACCGACGACGACCCAGGGTTCGAGAAAACACGACCACGACCCATGGGCTGAGAAAACGAAGAAACGGAGCAGGGCCCGAGAAGACAAAACAGAAACCCAGGGGCCGAGAAAACGAGAAAACGAACCAGGGTCCGAGAAAACGAACCAGAAAGAGGCCATAAAGAGGCCCTCAAGCGGCCTCATAAAGCCCCCAAGAGGCTTCCAAAAGGCCCACAAGAGGCTCCCGAAAGGCCCCACAACGACTGGATTGTAATGCCCGCTTGTGATTTAGACACCCCAGAAAAGTAATTAAACAATAATGCCCCGCCCTGGGTGAACCGCCAGCGCTGGAAGGGAGGAGGGGGAGGGGAGAAGGAAAAGGAGGGCTTGGAGGAGGCGAGAGCTCCCAAGAGGCCCCAGAACGACTGCACTGCACGTGCTCCAGACGTGCACCCCGCGAAGCGAGAGGAACCCACGTCAGGAAGTGACGTGCTGAGCGGCAGAGTTTTCCGCGGAGGCGATACTGCAACGTATCCAATGTATCCAACGATTGCCAAATCGCCACATATTGTATTTTTTCTGGCAATGTTAATTATGTCTCCCCCCTTAACCCCCCCTGGAGTCGCGCCGCAGCGCCGTACCAAAGGTGGCGGCCATCCTTCCGGGGCCTCAAACCTGCAAAAACCTATGGAAAATCAGCAAATTCGGCCTCCTGGGCTTCTTGGGACTCCAAGAAGGCGTCAAGATGGCCCAAGATGGCCCCAAGACGGCCCCAAGACGGTTCAACATGGTCACCAGACGGCCCATGAGACCCCCGAAACGGCCCAAGAGGGCCCAAAGAGGACCCCAAAGAGCGCCTCCAGGAGCCAAAATCATTGATCTTCTGTGGGTTCTTGAAAGATTGTCGCGTTCTCGCTTCTTTCGGTTCTCAGAGGACCATGACGGCCCAAACAGCCTCCAGGAAGACCCTAAGACGGCCAAAGAGGCTCCCAAAGGGGCCCCATGATTGCTCAAGAGGGCCCCGAGACGGCCAAAAGAGGCCACCCAGACGGTCCAAGGGGCCCCCCAAGACGGCCCAAGAGGACTCCAAGAGAGCCCTCAGGTGGCCGCGAGAGGCCTCCAAGATGGCCTCCGAAAGGGCCAGACGGCGCAAGAGCGCCCCAAGCCGGCGCAAGACGTCAACAAGAAGCCCCAAGAGGCCCCAAAGCGGCCCCAATGACGCTCCAAGAAGCCCTCACGAGGCTTTCAACAAGCTCCTGAGAGCCCCCCATACGGCCGCCCAGATGCCCTTGGGGATTGCAGGACGGAGCGGCACGCACGCGCGGCAGCCGAGCAGGTCACGCCAACCAACGCCCACACCTTCCACATTTGAGCACTTTCCCACAGCGGCGATTACCAGTCTGGTTCGGCTGCGCGGCGCCAAATCTGCCCGCCAGCAAGCGGGGCAGAGCAAGTCTGCTTTGTCACGCTGGGAGCTGTGCGCCGCTTCTCG